GGCAGGAGGGAGGGAGGGGGATTTATGCGACCCCACCTCAGCACAGCCCCCTCCCTTCCCACCTCTCTGGTGCCCCCATCGTCCTTCTGCCAGCGTGGGGACACCACAAAAACCGGGACACCACAAAAACCCCATCAAGCAGCCCAGAGTTTAGCCCTGCCTGCCCCACCCCAAACATCACTGCCCCCCTTGCCCCCCAGTGCAGGAGTCGAGGGGTGGCAGAGCTCGGGGGGCATTTCAGGGACCCCCAGGGCTGCGCTGCCCTGGGCCGGGGTCCCTGCGGGGCCGGGGTCCCTGCGGGGCCGGGGTCCCTGCGGGGCCGGGGTCCCTGCGGGGCCGTGGGCACGGTGCCGCTGCCCTCTGCCGGTCCCGGGCGTTGCTCACTCCCACCCTGCCCTGGCAGGAGCACAGAGTCCGGCCGGGCTTTGGGGCAGGCAGGGCTCCCCGGGTCCCCCGTGCGTGTCCCAGCCTCTCCGGGTGCTACCGGTGCTGTGGAACAGCGTGGGGACCCCGCAGAGAGGGGGATCCAGGGAGAGACCCCCTGTCCTGCGTCCCTTGGGCTGCCTGGCTGCTGCAGGACAGCGGCTGCTGTCCCCATCCCTGTCCCCAGCCACCCTTAGCCCACAGCTCATCCTGCGCCACTGAGGACATTGATCTGGTGGCCTCCTGCCAGGACCACCGCCACAACGAGAGCAAGACCCTCCAGATTTTAACCACCTGCCACGCGTTTAAAACTAAAACCCAGCTCAGAATTTTGTCCTCTTGCAGCCCCTCTGAGCCAGACTGGTGCCCATATTGCCCCCCATGTTCCCCTTCAACAATGGGGACTCCCCCAAGCTGCGCCACCCTCCCAGACGTGTCCCTGGTGTTTCTGTAAGTCCAGATCCTCAAGCTGCCAGTCACCCTTGTCCTTGAAAATAAAGTTTCCTGCAGCACCTCCTCAGCTGCCAGGGGTTGCCCCCAGCCTTTGTGGCCTCCCCAGCTGGGGCAGAGCCCTTGGGGCAGTGGCGCTGTGGGTGCCTGGTTCTTGTGATCGCCAGGGACAGAAAAACATGGGGTGAATGAAGTCTGCACTGGAGGAGCCAAGAACACCCTCTGTGATGATCCCCTCATCTCCTGCTGCTTCCACAGCTCTGCCAGACAGCTGCCTCCTCTTCCTCACCCTGCTGTGTGCTACAGCAGGAAATAAACTGAGGCCAGCACACCCCAAGCAGCTCCCTCAGATCCTGGGGCTGCTGCATCTTCCCCTTCCCTGCATCTCCTTTTTAAAACTCACCTGGAGCAGAGCTCAGCCCATGGCTTGCTGCTGGCCCAGCCCAGATTGTTGGATGATTGCACACACAGGTAAAGCCATCACGTCCTGGTGGTTTCTTCAGGGACTGTCTGGCCCTGCTGTCCCCGTCCTGGGCCAGGTTTGGTGAACCTTCACACCAGGTTTCAGTGAAAACTACACCTTGCAGCTCGGCAGAAGCTGGTCTTTATTCAAATTCTCCCACAGCTAGACCCAGGAGAGGGGGAAAGGCAGGGGCAGCACAGAGGGGCACAGGGGGGCTCTTTCTTCACCGCCTGCTGGACTCCTGGGGGTCCTTGCAGACCCCAAAGTTTTTGTTGATGATGGAGCCCACGATGGTTTTATTGGCCTCACAGGTCAAGCCGCTCTCGCAGGGACACTTGTAGTAGACCCCATAGATGCTCTGCAGGGAACAAGGGCTCAGTGCAGTGTGGGGGGGACGTGCCCCATGCCTGCCCAGCGCTGGGAGCAGGGAGCACCTACCTTTGGGGAGCACTCCTGGGTCTCAGCCGCCTTTGGGGCACAGCGGGCCAGGCTGAGGCCGTCGGTTCGGTGGCAGCAGCCGCTCTTGCACTGGGCACTCTGCAGGCACAGCTCCCCCGTGTCCTGCAGCACAAGGCAGGGCCTGAGCACCAGATCCCTCTTTGCTCCCCTTTAATCTCACCCTGTCTGTGAGCCCGGGGGTTTGGGTGGGTGTTGAACACCAGCTCTGCCTGTTGGCTGATGCTCAGCACCACTGCCCCCATGCCCCACTCTGCAGCATTTCCTGAGTCTGGCCCAAAACACCTCTCACCTCAAAGTGGTTTTTTGCTGGACTCACAGGAGGGCTGAGACACCACAGTGTCGCAGACATCTTTTATGGAAAATCCTTTCCTTAGGATTTTTCCTCCTGAGAAGCTGTGAGGCCTCAGGAACAAAATGTAACCAATGGTTATCTGCTGCTGTGGAATGCAACAGGTGCATCTGGGATTGGGCTCATGTGGTTGTTTCTAATTAATGGCCAATCACAGCCCAGCTGGCTCGGTCAGAGAGTCCGAGACACAAGACTTTATCTTTCCTTCTTATTTTATTCTTAGCCAGCCTTCTGATGAAATCCTTTCTTCTATTCTTTTAGTATAGTTTTAATATAATACATATCATAAAATAATAAATCAAGCCTTCTGAAACATGGAGTCAGATTCTCATCTCTTCCCTCAACCTAAGACCCCTGTGAACACAGTCACACCACAGGGAAAGCATTTCCCCTCCCCAGGCCCTGTGACCCATCCAGGCTGGGGGTCCTGGCTGGCTCAAGCAGCTGAGAGTTTGTCTGCTCCCCTTTCTGTGTTCCCTATCCCTTTACAGAGCTGATTTCCCAGGCTCCAAGCTCCCTCACAACACCAGAAAACCCCACAGACACCTCCAACCCTCCGTGCGTGTCCCTTGCAGCAGTGGGACCCTCCTGCCAAGCACAGGGCTGGTGTCCCCTTACCAGGTTGAAGATGAGCCCTCGCTCCTGCTGTGCCAGCAGGGCTGGGGCCAGGAGCAGCAGGGCCAGGAGCAGGCAGGCAGGCAGCACCTTGGCCATGGTGGGCTCGCTGTGGCTCTGCCACGGGGCCAGCAGGTGTTTTATAGCCAGCCACAATCTCCATCAGCTGATGTGGCTGCTCCTATCACACCTCAGCTCGTGGCATTGGGACACTGCTGCACTGGGCCCAGCCATGCCAGGGCAGCCAGGTCCTGTCCCCAGGTGACTGTCCCCAGGTGACTGTCCCCAACCTGCCCTTTAGCAGCTCCTTTGGCCAAAGGGAACACAAAATAATGGCACTCGTGTGTGGTGTTACATTTTAGTTCAATGGTTTGCTCTGCCTCACCCCCCCAAAATGCACGGTTTATTCCAAGCCTGTGACCCTCCCCTGCAGTATCAGGTATCTGTAATCCCATTGACCCCAGTCTTGCTCCACACCCACTTTGAATCTCCCTGTTAAGCTGTGGGAGGCAGACCAGGCTCTCTCTTGGCCCCTTTTCCCCCCCCTAGGCTCTCCCTCTCTCCCCCTTCTCCCTCAGGAACCATGCTGCTCCCAAGGGTGGGACCCCCAATAATTAACACCCTCACCTAATCAGCACCCTCAGGAGCCCTAGGCAGTCTCCTTGCCTGCCTGCTGCCACCAGTGAAAATACAGCTTAGGGGGCCCTTATGGACAGCTTCCATTAGGGCCCCCTTCCACTTCTGTGCTTCCTCTTCCTCCTCTGCTTCCCCGTGGAGCTGCAGCTCTCTGGGGTGCCCTCCTTGCTGGCTGCTGCTGATGTCTCCTGGCCAAAGTGAGGGCTGGCTGCCACAGCAGGAGCTCTGCTCCATGGGAAAGCCACCAGATCCTCCATCTCTCAAATGGAACCAAGGGCACCAAGAAACCTGCTGGAGAAAGTTCATGTAGTGCAGGAAAGCAGAGGCCCCTGCAAGGATCCAGAGCTCAGCAAGGTCCCCAGCCCAAGGGCCAGCACTTCTCCTGCCCTGCCAAATATTTGCTGTGTTTCAGTGCTGGGGGGGATGGGGCTGATGAAAGGCAAACAGCCGTGAGAATGGCACAGATTTTCATGCCCACAGTGGCTTGGACTTGATTAATGGCCACATAGCCCTGGGCTTTGACAGCCACAGGGGCTGGCACTGGCTGCAGGGTGACCATCACACTGTCCCGTGGCACCCATGGCCTGTGATGTGTCCCAAATTCTGTGTCCCCTTGGCTGTGACCCCCTGCCCTTCCAGCCCGTGTCACCAGGGACCTCCTACACTGGTAGGGAGCCCAAGGGCTGCTGCATCAGTCCCTGGCACATTGTGGGGGTCACGACACATCCCGGGCCGTGTGGCACATCCTGGGGCACACCCAGGGGTGTGGGGGGCAGCCCAGGCACTTCCTGGGTGTGCAGGGCACGGCCCAGGGCGTTACTGGGGGCACAGGGGGGGACAGAGTGCAGCCCTGAGGGCACTGCAGGGTACAGGGGGGACAGAGTGCAGCCCTGAGGGCATTGGAGGGCACAGGGGGACACAGAGTGCAGCCCTGAGGGCATTGCAGGGCACAGGGGGACACAGAGTGCAGCCCTGAGGGCATTGCAGGGCACAGGGGGACAGAGTGCAGCCCTGAGGGCATTGGAGGGCACAGGGGGGACAGAGTGCAGCCCTGAGGGCATTGCAGGGCACAGGGGGACAGAGAGTGCAGCCCTGAGGGCACTGCAGGGCACAGGGGAGGACACAGAGTGCAGCCCTGAGGGCATTGCAGGGCACAGGGGGGGACACAGAGTGCAGCCCTGAGGGCATTGCAGGGCACAGGGGGACACAGAGTGCAGCCCTAAGGGCACTGCAGGGCACAGGGGGGGACAGAGTGCAGCCCTAAGGGCACTGCAGGGCACAGCCCAGCGGCACAGGGTGCACCCCAGGACAGACCTTGGGGTGCACGCTGGCGATATTTGGGTTACCCCGGGGTGCATCTTAGGGCACACGGAGGAGGCGAAGGGCGCATCCCGGGGGAGCATCCCAGGCACGCAGGGCGCATCCTCGCTCAGGAGCATCCCGGGAGCGCGTCCCGAAAGGCCCCGCCCGCCCCCTCCGGCTGCGGCAGCGGGGTCGCTCCGGCTCCTCCCGAGTCCCCCCCGGCTCACCGGGGGTGGGAGGAGGTCTCGCCACCGCCCCCCGGGGCGGTCCCGCCGCTGCTGCCGGGCGGGGCCGGAGCGGGAGCCCCGGGGCCGGAGCGGGACCGGGAGCCCCGGGGTCGGAGCGGGACCGGGAGCCCCGGGGTCGGAGCGGGAGCCCCGGGGCCGGTGCCGGTGCCGCTCCCCAGCCATGACCAAGCTGCTGCCGGCGCAGGAGGCGGCCCGGATCTACCACACCAATTATGTGCGGAACGCGCGGGCCATGGGAGTGCTCTGGGCCCTCTTCACGCTCTGCTTCTCCATCCTGATGGTGGTGACCTTCATCCAGCCCTACTGGATCGGCGACAGCATCGACACGCCGCAGGCCGGCTACTTCGGCCTCTTCTCCTACTGCATCGGCAACGCGCTCACCGGTGAGCTCATCTGCAAGGGCAGCCCCCTGGACTTCGGCACCATCCCCTCCAGTGCCTTCAAAACTGCCATGTTCTTCGTAGGCATCTCCACCTTCCTCATCATCGGCACCATCCTCTGCTTCAGCCTCTTCTTCTTCTGCAACGCGGCCACCGTGTACAAAGTCTGTGCCTGGATGCAGCTGGCAGCGGGTGAGCGGGGCTGGGGGGAGGCACGGGGGGGCTCCCGGGGCCGCCCCTTTTCCCTTTCCGCCCCCGACTCTGCTGGGGATGGGGGTTTGGCTTTTTAAGAGACCCCAGTGTCACCTCCATGCCATGTGTTCCCCCTGCCTGGTTACCAGTGGGGAGTTTTTAGTAAAAAACTCCTTCCAGAGCAGCCGAGGCGCAGCAGACGCGCCGCATGTCTGGTGATGCTTCCCCAGGTGCTGCTGCCAAACCTTGTGGCTCCAAACCTTGTGGCCCCAAACCCTGAGGCCCCAAACCTTGTGGCCCCAAACCTTTGGCCCCAAACCTTGTGGCCCCAAACCTTGTGGCCCCAAACCTTTGGCCCCAAACCTTGTGGCTGCCAAAACTTGCCCGGAGCAGCCTCTCCCATCGCCACCGCTCCTGCTCAGCCGCAGGGAGGCTTCAGAGGATCAGTTTGAGAGCACCAAAAAAGCCCCCCCAGGGCACAGAGCGCTCTCCTGTGTTTGGGATCCTGCAGGAACGGAGCGGGCACACAGCGGTGACGTTTTCTGGCTCATTGTAGAAATTCCCTGAGCTCGGGGAATAATGCACGAGGAAGATGGAACACGAGGAGGGGCTGGCTGACTGATTTGGCACCATCACTGGCATTTTCTCCCTTTGCTGCTCATCCCCGCGGCTCTCAAGCCTTCCCCATCTCCCCCCAGGGCACCTGAGACACCTGTAACCCAACTCCTGGCTCAGCTGGAACCCGAGCCAGGGCTCTGGTGCTGCTGAATGATTGATGTGAGCCGGGGCCACCCGTGGGAGGGGGCAGCGGGGTTCCTTCAGTTCCCAGCTAAAGAATCGAGCTCAAGCAAAGATTTAGATAAGAAGCTTGGGGCAGCTCAGCCTCCTGGGGAGCGGCAGCAGAGAGAGGCTTTGCTGTGGCAGTTGGGGTTTTTCCATTTTTTGTTCTTGTTCTGAATGGGGGGAGAGAAAATTGTCCCAGGCAGTTCTGCCAGATGGACAGGTACTGCTGCATTTTAGGAATTATTTTACAAAGTGGGCAGGCTAAGAGGGGATCAATTTCCTGGCCTTTGCTCTGAACCAGGGCACAATTTCACAGAAATTATTTCTTTCCCACTTCCCCCATTTCTCTGTTAGTTGCAGGGAAGATTTATTCTGTGTGCAGTTATCCAACTGCTTTTCCATGAAGAGAAATCCTCTCTGCAGGTAAGGAAGCTGCCTGCTCACCTTGCTGCTGGCTTGTTCCCAAGCCAAGGGAAAAGAAAACATTGGCAAAGGACAAACATGGCAAAACTTGGCAAAGGACAAGGCCAGTGCCCCAGAAGGGGGTTCTGGTTTCTGAGTACCTGCTGGCAGAGAAGGAGCACAGGTGTGGGACAAAGAGCATTTGAGAAGGCTGCAGATGCCCATGAGGGGCAGGGACAAACATCTGCTTGTCCACCATGGGCTGGTTTCTTGTGTGACAGGAGTCAGGGACTGCCCCACATCTGCAGCAGTTACTTCCAGCATGAGAGTGGAGCATGTGAAGGGCTTTTGTTAATCATGTCCCAAAACCTTGCATATGAACTCACCCCAAGCCTGGTCATTGTTCTTGTCCAGTAAATAAAATTTCTCTGAGTGGGGGAAAAAGGCACTTCTGAGATTCTGGGGCATGAGCTGCCCTTCATCAACCTGCTGGCACAGCTGCTGTGGCAAAGGTGAGGTGAGGTGCTAAGGGACCCGTGCCCAGGCTGGAGCAGCTCCCAAGGTTTTGTGTGAGCTCTGAGCAGGAGCTGCTGCTGGAACCACCACAGCTGAACAAGCAGAATTATCTGCCCACAAAGCTGCTGCTGACAGCAGCTCCACCTCAGCAAACCCTGAGCTGGAATAGGCTGCAAGGTGCTAGGCCAGGGTTTGCACTCACTCAGACTAAACCCATTCCAGTTCTGTTTGGAGATATTTCCTTGGAGTGCCACGGGCAGAGGGAGCAGAGACGTTGCCTGGGCAACGCTGGGACAGGAGATGCTGATGCTGCTCGTCCTTGGCTCGGGGAAGGCAGCACAGCAGATCCTGCTCCTCCCTGCCTGTGCAGCTCAGCACAGCCCACGGGGATGAGCAACCCCAGCGCCTTCAAGGGACAGGGCTGTAGCCCCTGATGTGTTTGCAGCATGATGTTTGCTCCTCCAGCTGCTCTCTCCACTTCAGTGCTGGTGCCTGGAAAATAGAATGCATTTTTCCAATTGGGGTGTGTATAAAAGCAAACCTTTAGTTGAAAGCTTTCAGGTGAACAACATGGTGAAAAGTACATGTGATATAGCAATTCTACAATTTTTATAAGGTTAGGAGATCAGTGCACTTATCGTCCACTGTCCAGTCAAAAGGTTAGTTGGTTAGGGAATAATTCCCTGACCCTCTGGAAGCAGTCCAGGGGTTTCTTTTGTTCCACTTTTGTTATGTCTGGTCCAGGTTCTTGAAGTTAGTTCTCTTCTTGGAATAAGACTAAACAACATTTAGGAATGTGTTTATAAGGTTAGCTTACTATTCCTAAAGGTAGGGAAGAAAGAAAAAATACTAGAACCTACAGCAATCCACAAAGCTACAAATTTATGTAAAACATAAAAGGCTAAAAATCTCAGACATCATCATGATCAGCTCAGGAGCTGAGTGTGCCCCTGTCCCTGCAGCTACAGGGCTGATGATTGGCTGCCTGATCTACCCCGATGGCTGGGACTCCACCGAGGTCAGGAGAATGTGCGGGGACAAAACCGACAAATACACGCTGGGCGCCTGCACCGTGCGCTGGGCCTACATCCTGTGCATCATCGGCATCCTGGACGCCCTCATCCTCTCCTTCCTGGCCTTCGTGCTGGGCAACCGGCAGGACAACCTCCTCCCCTCGGATTTCAAAGTGGAGGACAAAGGTGGGTGTGGTGGGATTGCCCCTGCAGGCTCCTGAGCAGCGATTCAAGGGTGGTGCCTTGAGAGGCTGCCTGGAACAGAGGCAGACAGAGTTAAAGGAATAAAGTAGGAATTTTAATAAATATTTATTAAAATAATATTTTAATTATATTATTAATTATAGTATTTGTTATTATTATTGAATATAATTATTAATAAATATTTATTAAAATAATATTTTAATTATATTATTAATTATAGTATTGAGTATAATTATTATTGAATATAATTATTATTGAATACAATTATTATCGAATATAATTATTATCAAATATAATTATTATTTAATATAATTCTTTAATTCTATTATATTATCCGTATTATTTATTAAAATAATATTTTAATAAAAGGACATTTAATAAATATTAAAAGGCCTTCAAAGGATGTACCTTGGGCAGTACAAGAGCCTGGCTGTGGCTCCTCCCGAAATGGACCCTGAGTCACGAGTTTTCACACTTTTATAAGTTTTGGTCCATTTCCATGCTGGGGTTCATTGTCCAATTCCAGCTCCAGGTTCTGCAGTTCCATCCTTCTCCATTCCCTGTTGTTTGCACTTTTTGGGCTGAAGCTGCGGAGTGTCCTTGGTTTGGGGCTGGAAAAGGATTGTTCTGTGTGACTGAGCTGTGAGGAGAACCTGCTAATGCTTTATGTGAAGTTCAGAGTTAAATACCAATACAGTACAGAGTCTGGAAAAGATGAAAGCTCAGCCTTAAGGCATCAAGGTCATTGCTGCTGCTTGAGTGGATGATGGGTGCCTTCATCCCTGCCACAGTCACACACTGCTCTGTAGGCAGGGAGAGCCAGCAGCAGAAAAGTGATGGAGAGCAAGGCAGGAGCCCAAATTCACCCAGATTACATTTCCCAGGCCTCTGGGACTTTCTTCTCATTTTAAACATCTTCCTTTTTGAAAACAAACCTGCAAAACAGACTCATCCTTTCAGTTTTACACACTAACTCTACACTTCTCTTTTTGTTTTACAGAAGAGGGAAATGACTGACGGAGCTGATCACCATGTAAGTGGTAACCCACACAGATCTTTAATATTCCCAGCATCCACAATGTCACTGGTGTATTCTGATTACCAAAGCATTGACAGCTGATTTTGGTGCTGGAGTCACATTGGTTTTATTTGTGGTTAAAGAAGAAATTGTCTTTGCTTTGCCTCCCAAAACTGGGAAAGCACAAACACTTGCCAAGTACAAAAAAAAAATAAGCATAAAATTTGAAGTCAAACTACATTTCCCAACAGCTGCCTTACTCTTTCTGTTCCCAGGGACATCCAGAGCTCTTCTTCCATCAGCCCTTTTCTTTCAAGTGACTCTTCTAGGAAGCTTAAACTTACCAAATTCTGTGGATTTTCTACAGCTGTTTTCTTCACCCATGGGGCTGCTCTTGGCTCACAGCTCTTGTGGAGCTTATTTGGTGGAAAGAGCCCAAAATGGACATAAGAGTTCAAGAGGGACAAGAGGGCAAGGATGGCAATTTGCTGCTTTTTGGGAGGTTTGTACACCTTCTTTCAAGGAAATTACTTATTAATTAAAAAAAAAAACCACCAAAATATCAGTGTTTTGGGATTTGTGCTTTTCTCCTGAGGGCAGAGGAAACCCTCTGTATTTGATAATGGAAAAATTCCAGCAGAGTTGTCCTATTTTTCACTCTTCTCCCCTTTTTAAAATGGATCACAACACCAGCAACAAAATCTCATTCTGGAAATCAAAGCTGAATGTTCACTAGTGAAAATTCCATCCTCTGACTCAGAACAGAATTACAAGGGGAATGTATGAAGACTAGGGCTCAGTAATTAAATAATCTGTTTATTGCAGGGCTTTCACAAAGGAAAAAAAAAAAAGAAGACAAAGCACCCAAGTAGAAAGAATAAAAATGTATTTTCCTTCAGGTTTTAGACTGACACAGCAAGTACAAATCCTTTAGTGTGAGCACGTCACAGCAGTTTGGAAATGAACAGACCCCAAGTGAACGAGCAGAGAGGACGAGACTGAATCATGAAACCATTGACAGCTGCTTCTGCAGGGCTGCCACTCACAGGCTGCCTCCAGCCTTGGCTGCCATGGCAAAAATCCCTCCTCCAGCCAGGGCTGGCAGGGGAAGGGGCTTTCAACAGGCAAAGAGTGCAGAGCCCTTGTGGGAAATGTTCCTTCATCAGCCAGGCTCAAGCAGGCAGGACTGGGTGAGCTTTCAAGGGCTGGGTGAGCTCTCAGGACCACAGGAATTGTTTGCCCTGCCAATGTTCTCCTCACAGTCAGCTGGAACCCAGTACTGGCTGCAGTGCTCCTGTAACAGATACAGAAGTGACCCACAACTGGAAATGCCAGATAAAAGGAAAAAAAAAATAAAATGTTAACTCAGCAGTTTAAAACACTTTTTGGTATGTTACCTGCCTTTTTTTTATTATATGCATAGAGAACCTGATCTACCACTAAAGGAACATGCAGCATGATTTGCATAAATAAGCCAAATCAGGCTCTGAACTGGAGAAACTCTGTTCAAGTGGATTGAATGACCTGGTTTGTGAGTGAATGATCCTTATGAACCACAATTCCCAAACACACACACACAGAAGTGACACAGAACAGTGGTCTTGGCAGCTTTGGCAATGGAAATGGTCTTGGATGGCATCTGCATGGGCTCCAGCAAGTTCCACCCTCTGCAAGCCAGCACAAATCCAAAGCCTGTTTGGTCCAGAGTGAGGAAGTGACTCTGAAGTCTCAATGCTGCCAAATCTTTCTTAGAGAAGAGTGGGATTCACTGAGTCTGTAACAGGATAGGCAAGTCTAGAAGAAGCCATCACAGAACTATCAAATGCCACAGTCATTTAACTTTTAATTAAAATTAATCCATTTAACCCATTATATCCAAACCCCCTCTGAGAAGTTTACATAGAAACCCCACAGAACATTTCTTACTTGGGGTAACTCTAGAAACAGCTTCTAATTCAGTATCTATGTGGAAAAGTCACTTCTCTTCCACTTCTGCTAGCTCTCTTCTTGTGCTAATGGCCCAGAAAATAAAAGGCAGTCCCATCCTGGGAAGTTATTTCTGAAGGCCTGCACCTGAAGCAAATTAAAAGAAATCTTTACACTGGAATTTCAAATGTTGATTTTCAAAGAGCAGGGCTGCTGCATGGCTGTGATACAGGCACTGCAACCCCTCCCTTGGGGAAAAAAAAAAATTGAATGGTCAAAAATGAAAAGTCAGAGCAGACTGCATCAGTGAAAGCCAATCTCTCATGAATACCACCTCAAGCAAGGCAAAAAAAGTGCCAGTAAGGGATAAAAACCCCCAAAAATGTATGGCTCACTATAATTCAGAGTTAAGAGGTGCCTGCACTGAGGCTCTCTGCAGGCTGAGGGTGCACCTCTCTGTCTGCTGAGGGTTGTGCGTTGAGTCAGGCCCTGCTTCTGCTGATTTTGCTGTCACCTTTTAGTCACAGGTGTTGGAGTAGAAAACATCACCAAACCCAGAAACTATTCTGACTATCAAGGGCACGGGGGAAGAGAAAAAGTAAATGGACAGGGCACTTTGGAGGAAGAAATAAAGCATACTAAAACCTAGGTTTAAAAAGCTCTTCCAAAAGCAGCTAGAACTAAATAAACGTTTCTGAGGGGAAAGCAAAGAATACAGAATACAGCAGACACCTAGAGAGTGATGGAGGATTTCAAGGTCTTTGCTGCACCTTGATGCCAACTGTTACTTCTCACCCCATCAGTAGCTACTGGATCAACAGTGGGAAAATTGACTCCTGAGTCAGTGAGATCTTCATGGGAAGGAAGGAGAGCTGGAATTTAGCTAAGGGAGATATCCGAGCAGGGGTGAGCTCACACCTGTCACACACGGTGCTTTACAGTGAGGAGACTGAGGAAAAATCTCTTATTCTAGTCAATTAGTCTTTGGTGAAGCCCAATCAAGGCAAAGACACAGATGATGCCCACTGGCTGAGGAGAGTCCCCATTAAGTCACACAAACAAACTCAGCAGAACAGGTTTAGATTTATCTAAAATCTTGGAAGCCTTGAAGGAAGAACTCCACACTCAAAGTGAACAAGGAGAAAAATGGATCTGGGAAAGGGCAGCTGGGTGTGTAGGCTATGCTGTAAACCAGAGTTTAACGTTGTGGCATTGCTTGGAAGCTTCTAGGAGTTAAGCCAGGGGTGCCTGAGACATTCTGCTGCTGTAGCTCTTTTCTCTGGGATCAGCTCCAGCATAGGGAGTAAGAAGTCTGTGAATCCAGCTGCCTCATCTTGGGCCCACTCGTATTTTTCCACCAACACTTCAAAAAGGCCCCAGGGCTTCAGTTTGGTGATGTGCTTCAGATCACCTGAAAACCAAGACAAATGGTTTGAGTGTAAGATACAGAGCAGCTCAGTAAAATTGGCTAAACAGCTAAACATGACAGGCTGAGCTCAGGGACTGTTCAAGGGAATACAAACTGCTAGGGCATGCTGAAGGGAGAAGTCAATTATATTAAATCCCCTTTTCTATCTGCTTTAGAAGCCTGTTATAGAAATGTACTTCCTCAAAGGGCTCTTTTTCCACCTCCTGCTATTTCAGATCCCCTATCAGCAAATATTAACTTCATTAAATCACCAGTTATGCTGCTTGACAAGACAGATAAACTGTGCCACTGACTCTGGGGTACATGCAATGCATGGAGCCTGTTGGAGAAAGCAGCACACTACTAATAAAGAAGGGTTTGTTTTTATAAACAGAGTTATTAAACTAGGTCAAAACCTATTTTTTTGACTCAGTACATTTCTGGGGTACTCAGGACTTTATGCTAATGTTCTGTGCTCTGAGCAGCATGGCTCATGAGGCCAGGCACTACTTAAGGTGCCTTACATTTAGCTGCAGTTTTACTGATAAAACATTGCATAAAACAAAGGAAAGACTCAAAGATGCCATCTTTGCTGGCATCTATTTCTAACAGGCATTTCCAGCAAGCCACTCCTGTGTATTTGGGCAAGGGATGAGGGGATAAAGTGATATTTGCTTTGTTTCCTTTTACCTTTTTTGGTGAAAAACTCCTTGGAATATTTTCCTGCCAAAATGAGCTTGCGAGGTATTTTCCCCAGAAGTTCTATGATCAATGCAATGTGATCTGCATGTGAAAAAAACCAAAAAGACAATGAGATTCATCCACACAAAACCTCTCTATGCTAGTTTCCTGCTCTGGGATATGAGGATAAAGACACTACCCCTTAAAAATTACTTTGGAGACCCACCTGAAACCAGGTTATACTAAGCAACAACAAAAACAAGGAGCAAGGGGAAAATAAATAGAGGCAATTTGAGGCACAATCAGTTTGAGACACAAGGTAGAGACTCCAGCAGCAAGAGCAGTGCAAAACACCAGACCAAGAGCATGGAGTTCATTGCACAGTGTTTTACTGCAGAGGCTTGAGCACAGCTGCTGCTGATTTGGGTAAATAATCTTTTTGCAAGGAGCTTTTGCATTGCTGACTTGGAGGACAAGGCTCGTTTTGAAGAGGCAACCATTGGATTTCAAGTCCCACTTTAGACAGGAAAGAGTGAGACAAACAAACCTTCATCTCGTGAGTAATCTTCCCCAGAGTGAGGCTCGAACAGATAGTCCCCTGTTGCCAACTCAAAGGCCTGAACAAACAGAAATGAGCACATTAAATCACCTCAAAACACTGCAAGATGTGCTGCAGGTTGACTCTGCAAATCCCTGTGGGCCAGAAGCAAAGCAGTGGGAAAGAATAACCTGCAAAACTCCAGTAAACAGCTATAATCTTAAATATTCCATTACAGCCTGAACTGTGCCATTTGCACTGCTTTCAAAACTGCATTAAAAGCATCATAGGCACACCTGGGATGAATTTTGGGTGCAGGGCCACCAGTTAACCACAAAGTTAAGGTATTTCACATGCTTAGCCTTTCCTCCTCCTCTTCAGAGTTTTGCAAAAATAACACCATGTCCAAACTATAGTTTCTGGGGTTGGTTATTTTGTTTTGTTTTGTTTTGCTTGGGGTTTTTTGGGATTGTTCCCTCTCCCCAATTTACCCATGTTTCTCAAACAGTTAATCTCTGAACATCTGTCTGCAGAGATGAAAACATGTTTTAAATGAGAAAAACATCTGCACTCATTTCAACTCAGCACTCCTAAATTCTGTAACACATTCACCCCTTTTGTGTTCACTTGTACTCAGAACTGACCTTCAGTACAACTGAACTTGTACCACCCCTGACCTTCTCTATTCTCAATTTTCTTTAAGAAAAGAAAAAATTACACAGTGTGCCTGATTCCATTGTTTGCTGGTGCCAATGTGTAATTCTGTGTAATTCTGGCCACATGCTCTGCACAGAAAACAAGACCCTTCTGCATTTTCTTTTACCTCATTCATCAAAATCCCAGCTTGTTTTCCAAGACAGCAAAAATGTCTATTTTTCCAAGTTTAAATTATAAAACCCAAGCTTTGGTTTCTAGAAGAGACAGAGTGGAGACACTGAAGAGGCACATGCAGTAACTGGTTTGACTGATTTTTTTCATTGTCATATTCTACTTTTGGCAGCTGTTAAAGGAACAGCTTCTTCCTCATCTCAGCATTACTCAGACTAAACATCGATTCCAAACCTGCAGAGGATGATTAAAATTAGAAATGCTACTGAAGGCACTGTGAATCAGTGCTAGATGCAGCAGAAAGGCTTTTTTTTAATATAAAAAGGCATTGTGTTCAGAATTGCCTGGCTGTCCTGTTTTTCCAGAAAGCATGATAGCAAAGTACAGTCATATTTGAAATCTGCTGATGCTGGACAACAAAACCTTCAAAAGGGAAGCCACATGTGGTGAAAAAAAAAGATAAATTTACAAACCAACTCTGATGTGGAAATCTATTATTCAACAAGTCTGGAAGTTGACTGAACACTTGTAAGGGATCTTTGCCAGTCCCTCAGCAGCTCAGAGGGCAGAGCAGGAAGGTCCCAGCTGGCAGGACTCACCATGCAGGCTGTGCTCCAGATGTCTGCAGGGGTGTTGTACCCTGAGCCTATCAGCACCTCCAGGGACCTGTACTGCCTTGTCTGGATGTCTTCAGTGAAATGCTTGTGCTAAGGAGAAGAAATGTTTTATTAACAGCTCAAGACTGCTTAGAGGAGGAGAATCAACAACCTGGAAGGCTGGGGTGGATCAAAGCTCATTACTATTACATTTGTATTTATACATCCTATTTCCTTATATTCTGTAAGTGCTGTTTAAATGCTGTACATGAGATATTCCTCCAAGTGAAACAGCCCAGCAATTCAGAGGAAAGCAAGCCACAAAAGCAGAATAAAGGAAGACTCTGCAGCATCTCCTGCCCAGTCCTGGCAGACAGGCCATGGTCCTGCTACCTTAAAGCAGATGAGAAATCACCTTGCCAGGCACTGCCACCCTGACTGCAATTCTGAGCTGAGACTCATCTCTCCCAACAGACCTGAAGTGATTTGCCATTTTCGAAGCCAAGTAAAAAGAGATATGTCTTCTGTTTGAAATATCAAACATTTGAAAGCAGCACAGCACAACCATCAAAGAATAAAACTTGGGAGTTTCATTGTGTGAGTCTCTTTCATGTGCAATGGTCTGACAAGCTACAGAACCAGCACATCAGAGCAATTGTTTGTAACTTTGTAGGCTCTCCTGGAGACTCACAAACTCCTTCAGCAGTTTCCCAGAGCAGATTTCTACACTCTGTGTGTGACACAGCTCAGCCCTGTAAGAAGTAACCAAATGCCAGTGAGGCACCCAAAGCATGGCCTGAAATCTTGTGTTTAGAGAACCAATTCTTTATTTGTGTCCCTGCTTTCCCTCCTTTTTTCCCTGTCATAGTTTCAAACTGTCACTGCTTTCACAGCCAGCTCTAAGGATATGTTTTACAGATTATTTTCCATCTTGGCAAACTGACTGAATCTGCAGCTTTAAAAAGTCAATGTGAAAAGACCAAACTTACCACCCAGCAGGCATTTCCTAGGTCAGCTATCTTCACTTTGAGCTTATCTGCATTCTTGGGCTCAAGAGGATTAAGAAGGAAATTCCCAGCAGCTGATTTTCCTAGAGGCAATGTGTACAACAGCTGATTAAAGCTTCACAGGCAGTGTCACCATCTGTCACCCAAATCCCATCAACCTCTCTCCAGCAAGGAAGTTTTTCTGATGGATCAGAACTGTTCCCTCCCTGATGCCTGGGTATAAAATGAGCATCACTCTGCACTATCAACAACATCATCAAGACCCAACTGGTGTCATTAAGCAGAAGGATAAATGAGCATATGCAACACTGACTATTTCCCAGCATTTTTGCACAGCCTGTCTATATTAAAAAAAAATAAACAAACCCTGTTGAAATAAGGGCATTGCCAGAAACAAAACAAACCTCACAACCCCCCTTAAGCCTTCCTAAATGTTGGAAGGAAGGGTCCCCAAATTACAGCATCTTTCTGGCATACCCATCACTCACTGCTGCAACACAATTACAAGAGCTAAAAGAAAAAGCTGGGAAAATTGAGTGACACAATGGAGAACAAAAGTATTGAGTCACTAAATGGCATCCAGCTGTACCTCTGAACCAAAAATTTGGGAGAGTTTGAAGCTGTAAATTTGGGAGAGGGCTGTGAGAAGATGTCAGTAACCTAGCAGAGGCATCCAGCAAAGTGCAGTTCAAGTTTCAAAATCCAAATTTCTCTTGTTACTTTTCATCCATATAACTCCCCTAGTGGTACTGTGGGCAAGAAAATGCTAGAATACTTTTTCTTAGTAAATACAAATGGTAGTTTTACCCTCCTTCTCCAAGCAGATATTTATCACCTGGCAAGGATACAAAGATGCAAAAATGGACAATTTTACCAATTCATATTAAACACACACACCCCTGGAATGTGTTTCAATTGCTGTACACTATTTCATGCCTTATTTTCTCCCAAACTTACAAGACACAATTTTTCCACTCTGAAGAAAATCATGTTTAAATAAAAGCATTAAAGAAATTTGGTTTCTTTCCCTACACTGGGAAAAACAAAGTTTTGTGGGAAAACATTTACCCATCTTGAATTACAGAGATAAGTTACCTTTGCTCCATATTAAGAACCAAACTGTCAGAACACACTGATCATATTAATTTAACAGCAAATGACAATCTGTAGGCTTAATGGAAATCATATAAGCAGCACCTGATTCAAAGGAGGAAATGTTCCTCCACTGAAAACCAAAGGCACAGGTGTTTTTAAAAAGTAGGAATATTTAAGCACTCCAAAGTCAAAACTGAGGTACAACTACAACCAGCACCTACAAACAGCAAACAACTTGCAGTATGATTGTCAGGTTAATTACTCCTGGAAGGAAAACTCTCAAACAGGTGGTTCTGATCCCTTCAGCCTAGAAAATGCACATTTCTGTTCATATCATGAAGTGTTGTAAGAAATCTCCCACATCAAGGAGCCCTTCCTTACAAGATTCCTCTTATACCTTTGTTGTCTGTCGGGCTGTTAGTCTCATTCTCATCCTCTGAAGGGATCTCTGTCCTGATGCTTTCCTGGAAATTGTTGATGCCCTGCTGGTTCAGCGCCTGCTCTTGGCTGGGGATGGGCTGGCACACCATGGAATCCTCCGGAACCAAGGGCACAAACAAGTCCAACACTGCTTCCTGGGGCCCGGCCTCTGAGTCATTGTTGTGCTGGGTGTAATGAGAGCCGTGCAAGTTCTCAGTGCTCTGTGTGCCAGGGGCATTGTCACAGGCATTGCCACAGTCATTGGCGTTGTGCAGGTCGTCCTCGAGGCGCACGGAGCCCTCGTTCCCAGAGTCTGTCAGCTCTGTCATGGGGATCACCCCGTTGCAGTTGATTTCTGGAGCGTCTTTTTCCACCACGTTGCTTTCCATGAGATTAGATCCCTCCTGTCCAAGGGCTTCTGCTGCAAGAGGGGAAAATGAGAATGTAGCAGGATATGTCTTGATAAATAGCTGGAAGGTGTTCAAGGGCAGGCTGAGAGGGAGGGAGTAAATGGAACTGAACACAGCCATTCACTCAGACTGGAACAGGAGATTTCCCAGCTGAAATGACAACAGCCACCTCTGCTAAAGGTACACCCTCCTCACACCCATGGGACAACACTGTCCATGCCATGCTGGCAATGCTTTAGGTCTAAAGGTACACCCTCCTCACACCCATGGGACAACACTGTCCATGCCATGCTGGCAATGCTTTAGGTCTAAAGGTACACCCTCCTCACACCCATGGGACAACACTGTCCATGCCATGCTGGCAATGCTTTAGGTCCATACCTGGCTTTTTGTTGATACTTTCCTCGGATGGGCTGACTTTTATGAGCATTTCCACAGGAGTCTGAGCTTCTTCCTCCTCTTCAGGCTGTGTCTGCTCAGGGTTTGCTTCCTTCTCCATCTCCTCTATCTCTTGCATTCGCTTCTCCAACAACTCAGCCTGTCTTTTCTGCTTCTTTTTCAACTTCTTTTTCTTATTCTTTGACATTTTGTCAGCCTACGCAGAAGCAACCGGAGAAATTGGACTTAACATTTTATACTTCAATAAATTTAAAATGCACCAAGGTTTTATTTATCTTAGAGCTGAGGAAACAGTCTATGATGAACATGCTGGGAACAGCTCCTCTCCCAGATAAAAAGCAGCTGTTCTGGGTTTTGAACCACTTGTCTATGGCTCTTACCAGTGCATTTTTGCCCTGACCTGAAAAACCAACATTATTCTCCAAGTGAGGGAGATCTCAGACTCCACAGAACAGTCATTTTCTCAACAGACCTTGAGATCACCACAAGAACTCCTTGTTCTGGTGATAAATGAACTAATACCATTTACAAGTCCAAGACAGCATTGAACCTGATGCCTATGCCAAACACAAATCACACTTTTTTCTTCTGATATCAGAGTGCTCTCTCTTAATGCTGACTGGATTATGAAACAGTGCAGGAGATACTACCAGTGGATGCATACTTACAGGTAAAAGCTTTTACACTTACTGGTTTAGGCTGTGGTGCAGTGCTCACTGAAAGGGAAAGGAAGATCAGTAAATCAGTATGGCTATACTCAAAAACTGCAACTGCATTCTGATGTTAAGGTAAATTTTTCCTATGTGGTCTGATAACAACATTTTAATGATATCAGCAAATGTGATTTTGAAGGCTCATTTCTCTACAAAAACACAACAATAAAAAAAATGATAAAAACATCAAATGAGCAAATGCATAATTCGAGTTTCAGACAGGAGACTTGCTTGACTGATATCAAACACTTCCTGCCATGTAGCTTCATTTACTGCATGTATTATGCATCCTACCCAAATGAAAATGCAAATCAAAGCATTAAAATACCAAACTTAAGGGAGCTTCCTTAAGCTAAGGTATGCTGTGATCAGTTCAGCTCAATGTTGGTGTTGTTAGATTATGACTGACAGAGCCTTCCCATACACACTGCAGTGGATTTTGAAAAGTACACACAACTACAGATTGATATTCTGAGGAGGAACACAAGAGAATTTGCCCTCAGATCTTTAGGGATGTTTGCATGTCAAGGCACCTGGTTTTGTTACTGTTTTCCAGGTAACTCATCTTGTTGAAACTCTCATCAAATGCATTTCCAGCATCATGTAATGAAAGGTAATAAACTTTTGAAGGAAATATGAGAATTTTGCCACATTTTTACACCAGTTCCATACTGAATGCATCAACATTGTGCTAAATAAGACTGACTTTACCAGTGCCAGATTACAGAATTCCCAGAATTCTCTAATAGCTGTTGTTAAAAGCAGGCTCCAGGGAGCATTTATCCTCCCTCTTGTTTTCTGACACAAACTGCCTTCCCCATCATCTGAGTTACAATTTATGACTAATTTCCCAATTTACACTCAGGTTTTCAAAGGTTACTTGCATTATTGTTCCACTGTACTCAGGAAGTTTTCCTTAGTGATGATTTGGGGGTATGTGGGAGAAACAGCATCAATTTTCAGGGGAAAAAATAAAAGAAAAAGAAAATAAAAATCACCTGCAGAGCCAGATGGTGGGGGAGCCCCAGATCTCTGCCACTCTGTTGCCTCTGCAGCCAGCCTGCGAATGTACTGGTCATTGACACACAGCAGGATGTTCTCAGGCTTTATATCTGTGTGGATGATTCTACACTTTGTATGCAAGTAATCCAGACCCTGAAGAACCTGCAGGCAAGGGAGAAGGAAGTCAGCCATTACACAATCTAATTGAGAGCAAAGTGAAAATGCCAAAGTGCCTAGGATGGCCAATGGAAGGGTTGGTGTGTCTGAGAATGCTCCAGGTTAGAGCTGGGGTGATCAGTGGTTACAACCCAGTTCCACAATAACAGATTTGCATACAGATTTCAGCTACCATTTAAAGATACTCTATTTACCCTCAGAGCTTAACTTACCACAGGTGAAAAATCTAATTTTAATACTCCACAATAAAATCACACTTTCCTCCTCCTCCCCTGCACCTCCCATGTAGAGAGGTGTTTCTCTTAGGCTCCCACCCAGTAGGGAGAACCAGTTTCTCCTGCTCTTCCCATCATCAGGCACTGTGCTTACTGGGACATCTTTAAAAAAATACTTCACTTATGAGGAATGACTGAGGTAAGAAGAGGTTAAAAACAAAAACCATCACAGTTGAAGTGTCAGAAAACAACTATCTGCAGCAGAAGGGGCTTACAGTAGAGAAAAGTACTAACGCAAGAATATTTTATTGCATGAAATAGATACCATGGATTTTTAAGTTTTGTTTCCTTGGATTTGAGAAAGAGCAGTGAAAGATTTTTAACTGGGTCAAGAGGAAGAGTGCAGTCAGAACTGGAACTTACCTGTTTGATGATTTTTTTGACACAAGGGAGAGGAAGACCCTGATAATTTGACTTGATGATCCACTTCAGGAGGTGATGCCCTAGAACCTCAAACACCATACAGATATCTGGAACTGAATCAAGGAAAAACCCCGACATCCAGACCCAGGGAGCCCCAAATTCCCAGGAATGAGGACCAAAAGAAATCCAAACCAGTTGGGCACTTTATGTTAAAGAACCCTCATCCTTCTGACACAGCTTGCCTTCCTCAACAGCATCATTCTCTCCTACACAACAGTGTCATTACCTAAAATAAAATAAAATAAAATACAGAGGGATGGAGCTGCACAAAGGTCTCACTGCAGCAGTAGCAACCTCCTGCTTTGAGTGGGAGCCAGTTGCACAAATGCACATTATTATTTACTGTATGTTTTGGAACAGCCTACGCTTCTGCCCCGGGCAAAACTCAGTGCCAGATCTCTCGGTACCAGCATTACCTGAAAAGATAATAAAATTTCCATTTCATAAGTAATCTTCAGACCAATAAAGTCACTTTCTTTGCCCTCCTTTGCCTCTTTACCAGCAAAACAAACTTTTGATAAGCCTGGATTTCAAATATATTTATATGATCTGCTTTTGAGCTCTAAGATCTCAACAGCCACAGTCACTCCAGTGACATATTCAGTACAATGAAGCCAAACTTCTACGAGTTTATTAGGGTGCTTTTCATCTACACTGGCAGAAAGCATACACTTTCACAAGAGTGGAAGAAATATAAGCTCAAATCAAAATTTACTCAGAAAAAAAAAAATTAGAGAAAATGCATTATGGGTCTACTTTTTATAACCTGCAGCTCAATTCTCTCAAGCAGCCCAGCAATTCTCACTGAAATAGAATTTAACTTATCTCAAAGTGAAAACAATGCACAAAAGTCCAACTTTCAAACTTGGAGGATCCATTATTAGCACTTGTTACAAATCACTGCCTCTGAGAAGGCTGTTCCCACTGTCAAAGCAATACACTGCAACCATCCTAACAATGCTGATAAATTACAAAGTAAGATGTTTCCATAACTAGATAGCCAAGCTTATTTTCAAGTTATAGATGGCTCATGTGCTATTTTCAGCTACTGATTTTAACATGCTGTACTGAAATAACAGGTTCTTAACAGGCTACTTGCAAAATTGAGGGGTTGAGGTAGATGGGCTCTCCTACCTCAGGGGTACCTCTGACACAGCCACTCAGTCCTGATTCACAAACTGGTGGCAGAACACGAAAAGCACAACCAGGCAGTGCTGACACAAGTGACACCAGACTGAATCATCACTCTGGATGTGAGCTCAGCAGGCAGTTTGGAGGCAGATCCTCCTACAGCTTTCCCTGGGCAGGAAAAGGGATGCCTGGGCATTGCTTGCCAAAGCAGGGCAGCTGCCCAAGAAACTCCCATCTTTTCAATTCTTGGCTTTTATTCCACAAAAGGATACGGGAACCGTTCACTCCTGAAATCTTGAAGTCATCTAATAACTGAACAACTCTCTCTTTGCTGGGATCGTTTGGATCACTGTTGCGGACCTGCAGAGAAAGAGGTTATTGTGATGTCACATCCACTGCACTCTTTGCTTCCTACACAAATTCTTGATGATCTGGAAGTATCAAGCATGTGACAAATGAAAACTCCCCAAAATGGGAAAAAAAAAAAATAGTAAAATAAAACTGAGCCCATCTCAGGCACTCACCGATTTCAGTAATTTGATTTCATCCAGTGCTGTTTCTGTGTAGTGCTCTGCACTCTTCACCACCTTCATTGCCACAAATCTCCTCCCTCTGTGCACACATGGCAAGTAAATTGGGAGCTGTTAATGCTCATACAAAGAACTTATTCTCCAGAATTATCCCAATTCTTTTGCATGCTAGAGAGTTTATTTCATGCATCATGGAAAAATAAGGTTTAAATACTCAAAAGATTGCCTTTGAGTCTTTTTTTAACAAAAGATTTGTGTTAGTCATTTCTCAAAATATGGAAAAATAGGTCAGAGACTGAACACAACTCTTCCCACAGATATGGTTTGTCCTGTTAAGTCCCTCCCACACACTTGCATGCACAATATCAGAAGAAACTCCTGTTCTGGGATGTGGACAGCTAATGCTTTGTGCTTTTATCTAAAAGTAAAAGGATGTTTTCTGCTCAGGTCTGTGCATGCCTGGCAGGAACAGGAGCACTCACTGGATGTCCCAAGCCAGCCACACGGTGGAGAAGTGACCCCATCCAAGCTTCCGAATCACGTGGTAGCGTCCATTGAAGAGATCTCCTATTTTCACAAGGTGGTAACCCCCTGGAGAAACACAGGAACCAGAGAGCAGGTGTGGGGAACAAGCATCAAAATCACTGCAGCACCACTAAATATTTCCTCAGTGAAAACACCTGCAAGTCCGCTAGGCTGACCAGCTGTGGAAAACACAGGTTGTGACGGTAACAGAATCTTCCAGCTAAATATCAGCATTGCTTTTGTATGCTCTGAGCCCAGAACATGAAAGAGGTAACCAAGATCTGGAAATGGAACTTGGAACTGCGACCAAGATCCAAACAGCTCTCCTTGCAATTTTCCTGACTGGAAGGCACTCTGCCACTGAAAACAGCAAAGTCTCCTCTGCACCCTTCATATCTCCCAATCTACTGACTGTACAGGGGGATTCCATCACAGAAGCAAAAACATGAAAAGCCAAAGATGGAACTGGCAGAAAACAGAACAAAGAGAAGAAGTTCTGCAACTCAAATCCTGACTGATAACAGAGGGAAACTTGGAGACCACCTTCTCCATTTCATGTTGGCTTGAAAAATGTTATTATCATCATTCAGTTTCAAAGTACTCTTAATGTAAGAGGGAGTTTATGTTCATTCTCTAGAGCAAATGGGAAATGGAGGGGATTCCTTGATTGCATTGAAAATCATGCATCTTAAAATAGGCAAATGCTCACCTTTACAGTAATCATTTGGATCCTCTTGCTCATCATCATCTGATCCCAGGATTTCCTCCTCTTGCTCTGGAAGATCACTCTCGGATTGAGCAGCAAGGCTGCGGTGCTGGGTGTCGGGTCTGAAAGAGATCACAGCATTTGACACAGATCACACTGCATGTCTGACACAGAGATCACACTGCATGTCACACAGATCACACTGCATGTCACACACACACAGATCACACTGCATGTCTGACACAGAGATCACACTGCATGTCACACAGATCACACTGCATGTCACACAGATCACACTGCATGTCACACACACAGAGATCACAGGGCATTTGACACAGATCACAGTGCATGTCTGACACAGATCACACTGCATGTCACACACACGATCACAGGGCATTTCTGACACAGATCACACTGCATTTGACACACAGAGATCACAGTGCATGTCACACACACACAGAGATCACACTGCATCTCTGACACACACAGAGATCACAGTGCATTTGACACAGATCACACTGCATTTGACACACACACAGAGATCACAGGGCATTTGACACAGATCACACTGCATTTGACACACACACAGAGATCACAGGGCATGTCACACACACAGAGATCACACTGCACCTCTGACACACACAGAGATCACAGTGCATTTTTGACACAGATCACACTGCATTTGACACACACACAGAGATCACAGGGCATTTGACACAGATCACAGTGCATGTCACACACACACACAGATCACAGTGCATCTCTGACACACACAGAGATCACAGTGCATTTTTGACACAGATCACACTGCATCTCTGACACAGATCACACTGCATTTGACACACACACAGAGATCACAGGGCATTTGACACAGATCACAGTGCATGTCAAACACAAAGATCACACTGCATCTCTGACACACAGATCACACTGCACATCTCTCACACACAGAACACCAGCAGTGCTTTTATTCCTAACCTAAAAGTAGCCAGAAATTATTTTTTGCATACTAGTGAGAAATGCACCTCAATGCCCTAGATCTGCTTGCATAGAGGGACCAAGCAAAGCCCAAACAAGACAGATTTAAAAGCTTAGTGATCCCACCAAAATATTGGCCACTGAACCCCTTCTCTGCCTTTCTCTAAAGCAGATTTATATTTTGTTGTCCTAGGTAAAACTTGAAAATTTAAATATTGATTGATTTAATTTTAAAGACTAACATCAATTTGTTTTTATTCTCTTTTGGGAAAAAAAAAAAGTTAACCAGTGTTTTAGAACTTGTGGCCGTTTGTTCCTTTGACATTCAAGGTCAAATGAATATTTAACACTCCTTCTCCTTCTAACACTTTAGAACACTAGAGCCCCTAATTTTGACATTTATTTCTCCTGTTCTCAAGGGGCTGGCTGCATTTTTAGCTCATCTCTTCACTCGAGACCCAAAGTTTATTACAGTTGTCTGAACTAGGGAGAGTGGGAGGACACAGAGCAGATGTTCAGTAAACCCTCCCGAGAGCTTGTGATTGCAGAGGGATTGGAATCAGGCACTAAGGTGGTGGAGGAGGCTTTTCACTCCCACAATAATAAATAGAAGTGTTCATTTTATGTGTTTAACTTTCCATCAAATGTGCTACTCTGAGTTCTTGCTTGTGAAGGCCATGTCAGCAAAGGCCACCTCCATGCCCTCACACACAGCCTGTGCTCCCCAAATAAAACATCTCCCATACCTCAGCTCTGTCATGGCATCACACTGATCACAGCCAAACTGCTCATGAAAGGCTAATACCAAAATCAGGTAATTTATTTACTTTACAAAGCGTTACAGGGAACAATGAAATGCCTACAAACATTCAAGATACCCCTGTACAAAGCAAACATTTGTAATGAAAACAATGCCTACACACCACTTGCTTTGGCAGGATTTAAGGGCAAAGTACTGCAAGATATCAACATTAAGTTCCCTTTCCTCAGAAGCACAAGATATTAAAAAAAGCTGGAGTTGTCCAAAGAAGTGGGCAGCAAACTTCACTAGAGCAATGACACACAGGCTCAGATAACATTCCTCACAGAGAGTTCCCAGCACTGAATTAACGGAAGTTTCTTGTATTGAAACTATTGTTGCAGGGAAGCAGCAGATAACACTGGTGCCTTCCAGCCCCCTCCTTCAAATTCAGCTCATTTTGCTGCAAGGAGGAAGAACTGCCCACCCCGTGGCTATGTCAGCAACATAGGCAGGCCCTCAGATGCAATTTTCACAGTTTAGTCCTGAGCTGGACTCCTGCACATCATATAGGGCTGTACTAACTCATCTTAATCCATGGGGGAAATGTAATATTTTCATTTGGAACAGTTATAGAGTAGAATGAATGTTCAGCACTGACCTACTGCACATGCACTCTGCTGAGACTTCACACATTAAACACCCTGCTAGCACACTCAAACTACAGCCACCTTAAACACCATAAAAAGGGAGAAATCTTGTGTTCCAACCTGATGATAACTAAATTTGCAGCCACTTAAAATCCCCAACTCAAGTTCATTTAAACAAGGAAGAGCTACAAAGGTTATTACCAGGCACAACCCAGCACCAGACATTTACTTTCAGTCTGCTGTCAGTAAGTCCTGCAGGATTTTTTAAATTCAGGAGCAGCTTAGTGGTCTCAAACCATAAACCAAAGATTGCCAAGCTAATGAGACTCCTATTAAGAACCCTGCAGCTTGATCCAGCCCTGAGATATTTAGTATTTAGACTTTTTAGTCACTGAATTATAAGTCAGGGTTAGGAAGAAGGAAACCTGCAGTAGGGGGTGCAGAAAGTCTAAGAGGTCAAAAAGCTTCTTTAAAATGGCTGCATTTTTTTTGGGACAATTGAGATACAAATAAAGTCACACATTATCCCCAAATTAAGAGCAGGCAGCAAAGGCAAGAAATGGCCACAGACAGAATGGTTGAAGGGGAGATTAGATGCTCATAGACAACAAATCCTATAGACAGGGTAAAGAGAACGGGAGCTGGACAGAGATTTTAAGCCAGGAACCTCACATATAACCTGTGTAGTACAGAGTAATTCTCCCCAGTGCTGTTTCAGGATTTTCACTTCTTTAACAGGATGTAAGGGATTAAAAAGGACTCTAAAGAGAATTGCCCTGAAGTGGCAGTGATGCAGACAGACACATCACACCATTCTGCAGTCCCAGGGCTTCTCAATAACAGCAATTCCATGCATGGAGGAAGAAGTTACTGGAAGCACCAAAGCCCATTCTCCTGGAAGCTTTCTGTGCCCCTCCTAAGGGGCTGACTAATCCTGGCAGTCTCACACACGACACACCCTGGAGTCTGCAGCTGAGTCTTTCATGGGGATCCAAAAGCATTTCACTTCTACATTAGAGTCTATGATACCAGCGAATGTAAAAAAGCTGAATTCAGGTCACACACATCTCTACAGTGCTATTTCCTTTATGAAATCACCTCCAAAATACACCTCATTCTTTTGCCTTCCTGTGAAAATTTCTTTGATGTTATTACACACCACCCTGTTCTTCCCCTGAAATGACCACGTCAGCCCAAGACAGAGATTAGGAGAGAATCAATCAGTGCAGAACATGTATTAATACCTAAGAAAAATTATATACAAAAGCACAAGCCTCATCTGTCTGCTTTGCTCACAAAGACAGGACTCTAAAAGGCACAAAAGGCTGTTAAAGACAGCAGAAAAATCCATGCCCGGGATTTAGAGATGACAGCTGAAACAGCTGTTGTCAAAATTGCAAAATGCAGATAAAGTATATAAAAATCCTATACTAAATGATTGTTTACACATTAAAAACCAAGTGTTCTAGGGTACTTTTTTCTTTTCTAGCCACCTCTGATCTACAGAAGAACACCGTGATCACCTTTTCCTTTTGCTCTCTCATTGTGCTAATTAATCATCAGAATGAACAGGATCTGCAGGGTCTCTCCACAACTACATAGCAACATTTTACTTAAGAAAAACATTGTGGAAACAGAAAAGCTAAGGTAAAATGCTAAGTCTTCTATGGAATTCGTGTGAATCCACATCTAGAGAGACCCTCCCAAAAGTCCTTATTCCTTGAAGAGCTGCAAATCCTCAAGACAAAATTAAAGAGGGGAACCTACCTGCAAGAAGCACGGCCTCCCATGGATAAAGATATTCCTGAAGACAGCCCAATAGTTTTCGAAAAAGCCATCAAAAGTCAGCCACCACAGTGCTGGGGAAGGAGGGGGACATCAGCAGCAGGCAGAGGGGCTGGCTCTCCTCAAATGCAGCAAAGCTTTGTGCAAGAGTGAAGGAGAAGAGGGATTTGCCTCCAGCACCCAGCTGCAGCTGCCCAGCACTGCATTGCAGGTGAAGGACCGTGCAGCAAGGCTGGGGCTTGCTCTCAGCTGATCCTCCTGCAAATTCAGTCCTGTCAGGGGGGTGAGCACAAAGATTCATCCCCTCCTCTTGATGTCTACGTGTCTCTTCTTCCCTCTAATGAAATTAGAAATTCAGGCAGATACTTTGTTTCATCTTCCTGAACCAGCCGGTTTTATTTGCCTATTCAATAGCCCAGTGGATTCGAAGCTGGGATGAAGACAAGGATCATGGTAATTGTCGACAGAGCAACCCTTTTGATAGAGGAATTCCAACACAATCACTCAGCAGGCAAAGAGTGTTCAAAGGAAAAAATAAATTTTCTGATGTAATTCCACACCTCCCCTTCCAGAGTTACAAGAAAAACTTATCCTTTATGCTTAAAATGACAAAACAAGCAGAAGGAGTCCAATCTTCTTTAAAAAGTTGGACTGAGTATTTTTCACAGCAGCAGCGGGTACTTAACATCATCTTCCAACAATGCACAATTCCCAGCCATTTCCTGTGCCTGTTTATCCTGCTGGTTTATGTAAGTGATAGGGGAAACAAGTCACCAACAATGTGACAGAGCAAGTAACAATTCAGAGATTTCTCTCCTAGGGAGGACTTTATTAGTGAAAGACACAATGATGCTGCCCCTGCACTTTTAAAGCAAGAGGTTTAAGAAATTGTCTTTATCCACTAGTATGTCTAAAATACTTTCCTCTTAAAACCTCACACAAGTTTGAATGCTTTTAATACTTTAGCATTGCCAAACCTGTGCATATTAGAAAAGGAACTAAAAACATCCAAAATTTTCCACTGCAGACAAGATTTTGCTCCGTGTTCACTGAAGATATCACCCAACCCCTGCAATGCACAGCAGGGATGGTGAAGAGTTATTTGCAGGAGCTAAGATTTGAGTCACTCACTTGCTCCTTACAGAAGGTGTTAAAGCAATTTGGAAAAACACTGTGGAATTCTCTTGCCAGTTTTCAGGAGAATCATTTATCCGGTCCACACACAAAAAGTAAGGCAAAAAAATGATTAAGAAATCTCAGCCACACAATATGGGTGCTTACAGACTTGCAGAGAAGGAAGGACACCCTCTATAAATTACCAGACACACAAAGTCTCCACACTCAACTTCACCATCAAACTCTGAATGTGTTCTCTCTGCTCCAATAACATACATTTTAAAAAAAATTTGAAAGGAGGTGTTTGGTTTTCCTATTCAAGAGCATTAAGAGTGACTTCAAAACTCGGTTTTGGACAGAAAAGATTCTTCCTTGTCCCTGAAACAGCAGAAACATTGTCCATGCTACCTCATTGCTTGCCTTGAACAGATACAAAAGCAGACTCCTTCCACCCTCAAGCAAGGAAGTCAAGGTACATTTAGGTCGAATCGCTTTTGTCACACCCATCATCCTTAAATACATACTAACAAAAAAAGATACTCTCCTTACTCTGTCTGCCTCTCCCTTGAAATTTGCAAAGATGCCGCCCATCTGCAGGAAACCCAAGGGAAATGCTTTCCTAATTTTAAGTAGCCTACAACACAGTCCTTATAAACAGTGTCACCCCTTATTGGTGAGCTCAAATTGCAGGCATGAAACGCCCCCGAGCAAAACTCAGCTCAGTGAGGGCAGCAGGAATGACAAACCCAGCTCCCACTGCAGGCAGCAGATAAAGGCACTGCAAACACACCCCAGGATCCACCTCAGCCATGCAGCCAGAGGTTTGCTGGGCTCCACACCCAGTGCAGCAGGATCTCACTTAAGGATTCCGTGTTTTCATTTGATAAAAGCTCCATATGGCATGGGGAAAAGCCAGGATTTAAAAACCCCCCTCCCATTTCCACATCTGTGCATGCAGACAATGTCTCTTTAAGGAAGAATGCTTGCAGGCTGCAGCTCATTACTATTTCTTAGTGTGCCTGTAATTTCATGTTAAGGCACATCCAGTGAGAATGAGAGCTCACACGCAGATCTGCTGGCAAACCTCACGCTCAATGAATATGGAAACTTCACACAACTTCCAGCATGATTCAGGTCTGAAATGATCAAAGTGTTTTCCTGCTTGGATGCAGCCTTTCTGCTCAAGAAATTCCAACTGTTTTGGGGAGAATTACAAATCATTGATGGCGGGGGATTATGAGTGCACAATCCATGTTATTTTGTGATTATTGCAAGTCATTCCCTGTTGCATCCCCATTTTCCTGAGTAAATAACTGGTGTTTTCTGCCAGCAGGGCAGATTCACAATACTTGCTGCTACAGAGCACCCATCCCAGTGCTACAGGAACACCACTGTCAAGAACTTAAAACAAGACTGGAGGTGGTCAAACATTTAGCTTTTAAATACCAGTACCCAGAGGCACCAAGACCTACTTTTGATTAGCAGATCTGTGGGAGCTCAGTTTGAAGATGAGTACTGGCTTTCACATGAGAAAGGTATTAAAACACAAATAACAGGCAGTCAAGTTTCTTCCTTCCCATCCCCACTCCCCCACACAAGCACTTAACAAGCTGTTTGTAGAGATGTCTGCTAGCCCAGCTATCACAAACCAAGGGATTTCTATGGAAACCAGCAAATTTCAGTTGTGTCCTGTCATGGCTTGATAATCACTTCTGTATCTGAATGAAAAAATATGAGGGCAATGGGAATTACAGGTTCTCACCTTCAGAATTCCACGAAACTCTGCCTGATCTCTTTCTACAGGAGTGTAAGGATAAATGCATGCTCTACTTCATTGATATAAAAAGAAACTTTTAAGACAGGAAGGAGTGAAAGAAATAGGATCATCCTGAACTTGCAGAAAATTAAGAAAGTGGTTGACCTTCCTATAAAAATATATATTCATTTCAAAAATATATATTCATTTCAAAAATATATATTCATTTCCTACAAAAAAGCTTATACACAGAATCATAACTAGTATTTACAAGGTGTTTCTGCAAAGCATCAGTTTAGACTGGTCTCATCTAAACCAGCACACAGCAATATTAACTACTGGATGATGAAAAAATAAGTAACTTTCCAGTTTCTTTTAACCTTTCTAAATGTTTTTTTTTCCTGTTTTTAATTATATTAGGTTTATAGGTAAACTTAAAGCAGCTGTAATTCATTTTAAAAATGAAAGATATTTTGAATTATTTTTACTCCCTTCAGAACATTCTCTGCAATTTTATGTAATAATTCAAAATACTAAACTCAACCTTTTAAAATTGTTGTTTCATGCTATTTACTGCAAATGTAAAGAAAAATGTATTACAGAAAAAAACTGCATGTGTGATGTAAGCTATCATGGAACATCAGATATTAAAAGCACATTGCATGTGGTTTCAAGTATAGATTTTATGGAAAGTCATGAAACAACCCAGTTAGGCCTATTTTAGAAGATTTAACTAGAGCAGCTTTGTATTTAAATAGAATAAATGTTGTGGAACTGGACCTGAAGTTAGAGGCTGACAGTTCATTTAATTGCACAGCATAAAGCACACGCAAGTTTCTTTAATTTCTGAGATACAATCTAATAAACTTAGGGTAGCAGAGAAAAGAGTTGAAGCATCAAGTGCAAGAATATAAACAGAGCATTTGACAAATAACATGGCTCTGCACTCAAATCAAGGTGAGTGGCAAAATCAAGAGCTAACCAGCAGTGCATTTAACCTGTCCTGAATATGTGGTTAAAAAAAGAATCATTAAAAAGCCCCAACATGCCAGCTCTGAGAGTTATCATTCAGCAAGCTCAAAATCTACACAGAAATTAACCTTCCCAGCTGCACTGTGAACTCTGTTGGCAGAGTCACTATTGCTGGTCTGCAGCTAGAGAAAGGAAAAAACAGTAACAAGTACAGAATTAGACAATGGATTATTCATACAAAAATTAGAGGAGGAGGAGGAGAGCATTCAAAATTTGTCCTAATGCTACCTTCAAGGAATACCAAGAACACCTATGGAAGGGCATGGAACCATAATGCACGTCCCCCAAATATTTCGGTTAAGGCTCCTCACTCTTCAAAAGCCCCATCTCAAAACCACTGACTCTTGGCTGAAGGCAACAAGAAAATAATATTTTAAATCCCTGTGATTTGTCTGAGAAAGCATTACTCTAGGCCTAAAGAAAATACCCTCCAACTGCCACCCCCAAAGCCTTAGCCTTACTATCTCTGATCCTAGGCACCTTCAAGTAAAACCATCCTGAGTCACCAGACATTTTACAGAAATAAGCAGCATTTTATGGAGGATACAGAACCAGCTCTAGGCCTGACATCACCTTTCAGTAGAAAGGGATCCATGGGCAGCACTGAACAGAGCACTTAGTGCAGCCTGCTGACACTGTTTAGTATTTACTCGAGTTCTTCTAATTTCTACATCTGCCTCCAAAAGTTCCCCACACATAGAGACTCGTGACATTCCTGCGGTGAGAAAGAAGCCACACGAGAGCATCAAAGTTAGAGAACGAAGTAAACAACACACACCACTTGCATTCTTTCGGCAAGAAAAAAAAGGACATCTCAGGGAGAAAGAGAGTCAGGAGGGGGGAGAGAGTGGAGAGAAGCCGGTTCCCAAAGGCGGCAGTTGCTGAAGTGCCCCGGGGACTGCAGAGCGGGGACGCTGACAACTCCGTGCGAGCTACAGCCCGCGGCCAAGGGGAGCCGGCAAGGGCAGCCCAGCATCCGTCCCTGAGCACCAGGGCAGCCCCACGGCCGGGTTTCGGGGAGAAGCAGGGAAGGCAGAGCCTCCCAAGGAGCGGAGCCGGCGAGGGGAACCGACCAGAGCCGGGCGGCAAAACGGCCGCCCCGGGCCACGCGCTGCGCCGGCTCCGCTCCCGAAACGTGCGCTCGGTTAACTCCGGTTAAAAACCCGCCCGACCGCGGGGCCCGCACGCTCCTCTGCCCCCAGCACCCTCCGGGCCGCCGGGCCCCGCAGTCCTTTCCCCGCGGGGAGGGCCGGGGGAACAAAGAGGCGGCGGTGCCGGCGGGAGATGCCGCCCGAAGGGAGACGCGGCCGCACTCACTTCCTCTGGGCCTTGTCCTTCTTGGCTTTGGTCCGCTTCTTCCGGGCCTGCAGCGCCAGCACTGAGGGAGAGAAGGAGAGAGAGGCGTGAAGGGCGGCGGGCCCTGCGGGGGCCCCGCGGGGCGATGGAGGCCGCGCCGCGCTCACCTTTCCGCTCCATGGCCGCCACCGCCGGCGGCCCCGGGCGCCTGCGCTGCGCCCGCCGGGCTGGGCACGCGCGGCTCGGCCGCCTCAGCCGCGCGGAGCCACCGCCTCCCGGCCCGGAGCCGCCCCTGCCCTGCCCTGCCCTGCCCCGCCCGCCCTGCGCGGCTCCGGCTCCGGCGGCGGCGGCGGCTCCGGCTCCGGCAGCGGTGCGGGCGGGGCGCAGGCGCGGGGCCGTGCGGGAGCCGCCCCGAGCCGAACGGCGGCGGGTGGCGGTGCCGGTAGTGCCGCGGGACGCGGTGCGGGCTCCGTTTGGCCGCTCGGGGCGTGCACCGGCCTCCCGCGCCCGCTGAGCTCCCGCACCTGTACCCGCCCCGCCCGCCTCGCTCAGCCCGCAAAGCCTTCCACTGAATCCACGTGTAAAATCATGTGCCCCGAGCGGAGTGCAACGCCCATCAGACTCGGAGATTCTTAATATTAAATAATTTATTTAATAACGGCCACGGAAAAAAACCTTTGCAGTTACTGGGGTGTTCAGGCGCTGTGTTGCATGCGTTAAACAAATACCTGTGTTTAAGGTGGTTATGTATTCACCTTAGAGCTCTTGTAGGTTCTACTATTCACGGTTTTTCTCAATACTGTTTAATCTAAAGGACTAAGATGAATGTGTAGGGGATATGAAATAAAGCCACAATAATTTGCAGCCTGGGTTTCTGCAGCAAGCCCTGCCAGGAAAGCCTTGTGGCATCCCCCCAGCTGGGAAGAACATTAGAGCATTGCTGCGTGCAAAACAACCGGACTTGCTGCAACTACGTCAGGTAAGAACTTCAGGCTGCCAACAAAAACTATAGACAGCCCTTTAAACTCTGACTTCAGTGGGTTTTTAGAGGTATAGGTGGAATACGTGGCTATAAAGCAGGTGCTTTGTCACTTCACAGCCCATGGCCAGGGATTTGTGCTTGGCTGAACACAGAACCCTTGTGTCCGTAAGTGGGAACAATGGTATGGCACTGCACACTCGTATGGGGAAAAAGATCGGGATTGACTGGACTCCCTCTCAGCAGGATATTTGTTTTGCAGCATGAATCCCTGTGACTTGCATGCTGACATTCTGATGTCTGACTTGTCCCCTGGTGCTAAACTCTGCAGTCATTGTGGTAGGAAGGGAAGATTTGGAGCTTTGCTGAAGAAGATGAAAAAAAAATCTCTTAAGTTTTCAGTGGAGACCTTTCATGGTGCCAATAGCTAGGAATCCATTTCATCTTAAATCAAGGCTGCTACTGGAGAGCCAACAGAATCTGGAAATGAGGGCTATGCTTTTCATGGGGTTTACATTGCTCATTTTGAATAGAGCTGGGAGAAGCTTGGCGTGAGGCCACTGTCCAGAACAATGTAGGGAAGCATACGTGGTTTGAGAATTGCTCAATACCATTTGGGCCTTCAGTTCTTCCTGTCTTTCAGTCCAAGAAGTTCCAGGATTCAGTTTCCTCTGCAGTAGGAGACTCTACACAGTCTTCTTGAAAAGCCAAGCTCATATATTCTGGGTATAACTCTTAGCCAAGGGTGGCCAGACTGTCAAGGTGGCCAAGTGCAGTTCCCATAAGGAGGTGACGCCACCTGAGCAGCGAGAGGGCTCTGCTGGCATGGGAGCAAAGGACACCCCAAATCCCAGCTCTCGAGGAGCTGCGCTCACAGGCACTGCTGCAGGTGACCCCCGAGCTGCTGTGGGTCCCTGCTGCATTGCCAGGCTTTGCCCTGCTTGCTCCCTGCAGGCACCTGCACAGGTGTTATCCCAGAGCTGGCACCTCTGTGCCCTTGCATTCCTGTCAGGTGAATCACAAATACTCCTGTGTGCTGTTCACATGAGAGCCTGGTGCTGGAGAAGCCCAGAGCGCTGGGTACATCCATTACTTGACCTAATTAACGCTGCACAAAAAGAGGGGATGGGATTTTGATTCCTTCTGACCTAGAAGAAAACCATACAAACACTGCATCTGGGAAGCAAAAATAAACAAATCCACCCCACCTGTCCAAAACCAGACAAGTGTTTCCTGTATTAAGTTATTTAGTGAGTGGGTTAAATCAGGACTTGACCTACATGATTTATTTCCCATGTATGTGTTTGAATCAGAATTTCCAGTAGTTAAACACTGACTAACCTCACCACCCAGTGCTCTTTCTTCACCCTTTTAATTCCCTGGCAATGTTGGTGATTTTTTTTTTTTTATAATTTACAAACCAAACATAAGTGAGGCTTCTGGCATCCCTGGACTGTGAGCAGTGACTGTGGGGACTCACATTAACATTATAGAGCTGTGTCCCTCTCCATAATTTCACTGTCAAGTGTGGCTCTGCTGACAAGTGGATACAAAATGGAGAACAGAGAAAACACATGAAATAGGGAAGTGCAAATGAGCAGGGAAAAGATCATGAGGAAGCAAGGCAGACATTTTTCTTAAACAATGAGCTCGAGGAAGAAATAAAAGAGATTTTCTTATTAAACAATGCAATGATAAAGTTTCCAATAATATTAGCAAAATTCTCCCTTTGAATTCTGGGCAAAACTTATTTTATTGCATCAGTTAATTTTGGGTGGACAGACTATTAACTCTACATCACATGTCACAAATATACACAATTCAACTCTTACCATCAAGTGATTTTGTTTCTCTGACTCCAGAATTTCATCCAATTTCCTTACATGTTTTAAGATACAATATATAAGACAGTGGTGGAACAGAAAGCTTTTGCATAATGTAAAAGATCTCACTATTACAGAAAGTAACCTTGTTGACAAGTCTTCATGGTTACTGAGAACTGGAAACCAACAGCAACTCAAACTACAGCTCTGCCTGCATTTATCATCAGAAAATTCCTTTACAGCAGTGTAAGTTGGACAAGACCCATAGTTTGAGGCTTCAGGTGATGAAAGAGCTGGTTATCCAGAAGGAGAGGGCTGGCCCCCTGCTTCCCTTTCCCCGTGTGCTCCTGTCCCTTTTGGCAGCAGCAGGATGATAGATTAGCTCACCACACCTTGGAGAACCTCACCCAGTGGCTCAGTCCTGAGTCTCAGGCCCTGTCACGGTCTCAAAACAATGGTTTAAGTTTCAGTATACACTGAAACAAAGCCCAGATAAATGATGAATAAGAGATTCTGTGTTTACTTTCACAGGAGGACCTAGCAGAGGAGAAAAAGCCATAACCAATGAGAGTCCAAACTAGATCCAAAAAGAGATCCAGAAAGAAAACTGCAATATTCATAGTCAAACAAAACTAAAACAAAGAAACAAACCCACCATCACTGAGACCTGTTTCTTCTGATACCACAGCAGGGACACCAGCATTATATTTACTGTCTTGTACACATGCCCTAGTCACAAACCACAGAGAGAGCGAGGTGTGCCTGACATCCTTGAGCTCAATCACGCTTTTCAAGGTAAAACTAACAGGATGCAAGAGAGTTTGCAAATTAAAGGTGTTAAGGACCCTAAGATACCAAGAAATAATTACTTTATAGGTGCAAGCAGTGGTAACTTTTAAGTGTTTATTCCTGTGGGCTTCAATGACTTACAGCACCATAGGACACAGTGCTTTGTGTAGAGAAACACAAGGGTTTTGATATGGGAAGCCAAATGCTTCAAAAGCAAGCTTCCACAACCCATTCAGAATGTGTCTATCTTGCACTGTATTAATAACAAATTAAGTTTCTAAAGCTTGAGATGCAAAGCTAAGTGAACACAAATCCCTAACATTAATTATTTTCTGTGATATTCTGTACTTACTACCTAGTGAAGACCCCATGGGTTCCATCCCAAAATTAGCTTAACCTGCTGCACTTAATGACTTGAGGCTTATGCATGCACTTAAAAACTAACACATCCGTATCTTTGATAATGCAAGGCCTTGTGAGAAGTATTGAGAAGCAGCTTATTCTCAAAAAACACCGAGAACGATCAGGACACTGGGAAATCTGTGCAGTGCGAGCTTAGCTCTCCCAACACGCCTGACCTGACATCCCTGCAAGGGAACAAAACATCTTTGGGAAGTTTATAGGAACAATTCACACCAGCTTGCAAGGCTTCAGGAGCGCTAGGGCTAAGATACACCCTGGCACGCCGCTACTCACCCTGTGCTGCCCTAGCTAAGCTTTCTTATCTATTTTCCTTTACTTTTTACTTTCAGAGCAGCTCAAGGAGAAGCGAGGCGCTCGCCGAGGGGAAGGCGGGACAGAGCCCGCCCCCGCCGCCCTCAGCGCCGCTCTCGCGAGACGCGGCCGCGCGGGCTCCATATTGGGGCATCTGTGCCCTGGGCCCGGAGCTCTCGCGAGCGCGGCCCCGAGGAGCCCCGGGCTGTGCCGCCCGCGGGGAGCGGCTCCGCGCTTTGTGCGGGGACAGTGGGGCCGGTGCCCGCGGCTGCCGGGGCTGCTGCGGGGTGTACGGGGTCGGAGCTCCGGCTGCGCCGCCCGGGCTGTCCCGCTCGGGGCGGGGCGTGAGCGGCGGAGGCGGCGGCTGCGGTGTCGCCTGCGCCGTCCCACCTGCGGCGGGAGCGCGTCCCCGCCCCGCACGCCGGCGCCCCCGCCTCGATCGGCGCTGGCCGCACGACCGCCGGCCGCGCCTGACGGGGCCATCCCGCCCCTCGTGGCACAGCTCGGGGAGGGAGAGCGGCGGGGGAAGGCGGTGACACGGGCGCGCTCGGCCTCGCCCCCCGTGCCTGTGGGAGGGGGGCAGCGGCCGCGCGGGGCGGGGCGTGCGGGGCCGGCGGCGGCAGCGGGGGCGTCGCTGCTGCGGGGCTGCCCCCGCCCGGGAGCGCTCGGGGGAGGGAGCGAAAGAAGGAAGGAAGGAAGAAGTCGCTGCTGCCGCTGCAGGAGGAGAAGGAGGTAGTGGCGGCGGCGGTGCTGTTGCAGCCGCAGGCAGAGCC